CAGCGTTTGTGGGGACTCGCAACATCACGTCACGTCATGTGAACTCTCTACTGAGATGCAGAGACTCGTTTCTTAATATCAGCTATGAAATAAACTAAGATCTATGTTCTACCTATTTTTACTTAGAATTTTTTTTCTCACTCACATATTTAATTCATTATTTTTATGACATTAGAAATAATTTCTGATCGTGCAGGGATCACTCAAATGTGTCCTTCACACATTGCAGGAAGTAATTTGCATCTGTTTAACATATGTTAATGAAGGCGTGTCAGGGGATGTGTCTTACCTGCGCTCAGTTCCACGTTAATTGTGATGTATAAAAGAAATGTGCGTGGATTCCAGCGTACACACAGTTTGATACATCTGGATTTTTTGTGCGTACGCTGTTTTCTGGATTTGACCGTACGTCAGGTTTCAGTAAGAAATCCACGCAAAAAAGTTTTTCCCCAAAACTCTCAGGGAGGGCATTCTCTATGAAGACGTTTGTAGTTATGAGCTAATTTAAATCCTACACTGTATTAAATTGTTAAAGGCTTTTGGGAATTTGAGCTAAATTGTGTATTTAGTTGCAATCATACATTATGTAAATGTAATACAGGATCACGTAGCATAATTTACAGTTCTCACGTAGATACTGTTGATTTTGTTTGTTTAGTAAGTTTTTATTATTTTCAATGATAGTTTTTATTTGAAAGTATATTTAACTACAAGAAAGTTTATAAAGTGGGATTTTTAAACATAAAAAAACATCTTATGCATGTTGATGCTTGGTGATAAATGTTGACACAGGACGGGTTATTTTGCAGTTTTGTTAAATTTAAAAGGTGATATTTGAAAGTTATTTCAGTACTGCTAAGTATGAAAAAAATTGAAAACTGTTTTTAAAAATAAGTTGATTGATGAATCCTTTACAGTCGTTCTTTAGTAGTATATGCTGGTATTGTCAATGTATATGCAGATAAAATGTGGTGGTTGTGAGGGTAAAACTGTGAAGTGGTGGTGGGGTTCATTCTCATATTCGACAAAAGTTTTATCCATCCATCCATCCATCCATCCATTTTTTTCCACCTATCCGGAGTCAGGTCACGGGGGCAGCAGCTTCAGAAGGGAGGCCCAGACCTCCCTTTCCCCAGCCACTTCTTCCAGCTCCTCCGGGGGAACTCCAAGGCGTTCCCAGGCCAGCCGAGAGACATAGTCCCTCCAGCGTGTCCTGGGTCTTCCTCGGGGCCTCCTCCCSGTGGGACGTGCCCGGAACACCTCACCAGGGAGGCGTCCAGGARGCATCCTTACCAGATGCCCKAGCCACCTCAACTGGCTCCTCTCGACGTGGAGGAGCAGCGGCTCTACTCTGAGTCCTTCCCGGATGACCGAGCTTCTCACCCTATCYCTAAGGGAGAGCCCAGCCACCCTCCAGAGGAAACCCATTTCGGCCGCTTGTATCCGGGACCTCTTTCTTTCGGTCATGACCCAAAGCTCATGACCATAGATGAAGGTAGGGACGTAGATGGACCGGTAAATTGAGAGCTTCGCTTTTTGACTCAGCTCTCTCTTCACCACGACAAACCGATACAGCGCCCGCTTTACAGCAGATGCTGCGCCAATGAGCCTGTCGATCTCCCGCTCCCTTCTTCCCCCATTCGTGAGCAAGATCCCCAGATACTTAAACTCCTCCACTTGAGGCAGGACGACCCCCCTGACCCGGAGAAGGCACTCTACCCTTTTCCGGCTCAAGACCATGGCCTCGGATTTGGAGGCGCTTGAGCCTCATCCTAGCCGCTTCGCGCTTGGAAGCCGCCTCGGCAGTGGAGGTACGGAACATGGTCCATTCAGACTCAATGTCCCCCACCTCCCCCAGAACGTGTTCAAAGTTCTGCTGGAGATGGGATTTGAAGCTCTGTCTCACAGGGGACTCCACCAGACGTTCCCAGCAGATCCTCACTACACGTTTGGGCCTGCCAGGTCTGACTGGCTTCCTCCCCCACCACCGGAGCTAACTGACCACCAGGTAGTGGTCAGTGGACAGCTCCGCCCCTCTCTTCACCTGGGTGTCCAAGACATACGGCCGCAGATCTGATGAAAGGACGACAAAATCGATCATCGAACCGCGACCTAGGGTGTCCTGGTGCCAAGTGCACATATGGACACCCTTATGCCTGAACATGGTGTTTGTGATGGACAATCCGTGATGAGCACAGAAGTCCAACAACAGAACACCACTCGAGTTCAGATCGGGGGGCCGTTCCTCCCAACTACGCCCCTCCATGTCTCGCTGTCATTGCCCACGTGAGCGTTGAAGTCYCCCAGCAGAACAAGGGAGTCCCCAGGAGGGGCTCCTTCCAGTACACCCTCTAAGGACTCCAAGAAGGGTGGGTAATCTGAACTGTTGTTCGGCCCGTAAGCRCAGACAACAGTCAGAACCCGTCTCCTCACCCGTAGGCGAAGGGAGGCTACCTTCTCGTTCACCAGGGTAAACCCCAACGTACAGGCGCCAAGATGGGGGGCAACAAGTATGCCCACTCCTGCCCGGCGCCTCTCACCGCAGRCAACTCCAGAGTGGAAGTACGTCCAGCCCCTCTCAAGGAGACTGGTTCTGGAACCAGAGCCATGCGTTGAGGTGAGGCCGACTATTTCTAGCCGTAACCTCTCAACCTCGCACACTAGCTCCGGTTCCTTCCCCACCAGAGAGGTGACGTTCCACGTCCCAAGAGCCAGCATCTACAGCCGAGGGTCAGACCACCCGGGTCCCCTCCTTCAGCCGCCACCCATTACACACTGCACCCGACCCCTTTGGCCCCTCCTACAAGTGGTGAGCCCGTTTGAAGGGGGACCCACATCTCCTCTTTGGGCTGAGCCCGGCCGGGCTCCGTGGGTGAAAGCCCGGCCACCAGGCGCTCGCCATCATGCCCCACCTCCAGGCCTGGCTCCAGAGGGGGGCCCCGGTGACCCGCGTCCGGGCGAGGGAACGTCAGGTCCAAAGTTTTCGTGCATCATAAGGGGTCTTCGGGTTGCGCTTTGTCTGGTTCCTCACCTAGGACCTGTCTGCCTTGGGTGACCCTACCAGGGGCATAAAGCCCCAGACAGCATAGCTCCTAGGATCATTGGGACTCTCAAATCCCTCCACCACGATAAGGTGGCAGCCCAAGGAGTGGCAAAAAGTTTTAGTACATGTTTAAAAAAACTGATGGGCATTGGACATGTTATTTTGAGGATGGTTATGTGACATCAGGGTATTTTGGTTCTGAGGTCCTGGGACAGGCGAGAGCAGACAACCTGCTGCTGATAGCACTGTTCTTCCTACACATAATAATGTAAACATATTTTGTCTTGAATTTAGGGTTAAATAACAATTGTATATAGGTCAGTGTTTCATTAAGGCAAAGAAATAACTACTGTATGTACCCAGTAACTGAAGTGGTTGCCGCTACTGTTAAAACTTGAAGTCGTGTTGGTATTAAAAATATTGGGATGGTTTTAAAAGGCATTAAATTTAACTTCAGAATTTCTATATATACCCTGGTGAGGAGGAAGGAGACGGAAGATGGCTGGAGATGGGTGAACTTTAATTTAAGATTTAAGTTTATTTGAAAGGTCCTTATGGTTCACCAGTAGAAGCATAAATAATACTGTTAAAGCTTCTGATAAAGTTGATATGAAGTCTAAGAAGTGAAATTAAATATCTGACAGTGTTCATGATGCAGTGTGGCTATAATTCCTCACTTCACCATCTGTGTCGCCAGCTTCTCGTTCACAAAATGAATGTGCACGAGTCAGAGCTGGTGTGAGGGACCGCATATTTTCACGCCAAGTTTTTTTTTATCAGAACCTTAGTGTGAAAAGTGGCATGCGTAAGTTTCTGGGTCTGTTTTGTGCGTACTCAAGCTTTATAAATGCGACTCCTGGTGATTTGTAAATACATTTGGTCCAGATCTTAATGCTATAGGTTTTGTCTGCTCCCCTGTTTGTATCTAGACAGAGAGAGAGAGACGTCACTCATAACTTGTCAGGGTTGGGCGCAGCCTGTAAATATCCGTGGGACCAGCTGATGGGCAGGGCGGTAAAGTGGGGGGCCAATGGTGCCCCTGGCCCCCTCTATTCCGGCACCAGCGGCTGAAAGACCCAGCCACATTTCATCTTTAATGCCTTTGCTGGTGGAAGGAGGTTTGCACTCAAAATCTCACGTCTCTCAGCAACTCACATCTGACCATATGACATTCTCCCAATACTTGTCTGGAACATCCAAATGCTCTCTAGCAAACATCAGTGGTCTTTTAGGTCTTCCATTTTCTAATTATTACTCCCAGTTGATTTATTCACACTAAGCCATTGCAGACTATCTGCCTATTGCAGATTCAGTCTTCCCAGCCTGTGCAGGTCTTCAATTATGTCTCTGATGTCCTTATACATCTCTTTGGTCTTCACCATAGTGGAGTTTGGAGTGTGACTGTTTGAGGTTGTGAACAGGTGTCTTTTTTTATACTGATAAATAGTTCAAACGGGTACCATTACTATAGGTAATGAGTGGACAGAGGAGCCTCTCAAAGAAGTAGTTGCAGATCTGAGAGAGAGTCAGAAATCTTGCTTGTTATTATATACTTATTTTCCACCATAATTTGCAAATAAATTCTTTAGTCAATCAGTGTGATTTTCTAGATATGTTTTCTCATTGTTTTGTCTCATAATAGAGGTCTAACTATGATGTCAATTACAGGCCTCTAACATTTTTTTAAGTGGGAGAACTTGCACAATTGGTGGCTGACTAAATACCCGCCACTGTATTTTACCAACCCAAATAAGTTGTTTGGGGTGTTTTTTAGTTTTTCCAAAAATGCAAAATGAAAACATGCGATAAGTCAAGTTTGGATTTTTAATAAGGATATTTGCAGACATACTTGTAAAATGTGTACATTTTAATGGAAGAGGCTAATCACTAATTTTACTTAAGAATTATTTCAATTCTTTGCTGAATGATACATTTTCCTGATGTTTTGTGTCAACAGAATCAGAATCGGACGAAGACGAGGCAGACTGAACCTCCTTTCTTTTTTTTTCTTTCTGTCTTCGTAGAAGCAGGAGCAGTAGAATGTCTCAAACCTTCCTCCTCTACCTCCTGTTTCTTATTGATCTCCCCCACAAACACCAACCACTGACACATTAAAGCAGTGTTTGAATAAAACCAAGAAGGGCTCTGACCTTTGCAGCTCTTCAGAAACAATTAATTTTTCTACTTATTTTTAAATCTCCAACCCCATCTATAATTTGGATCAAAGCATTCCTCACGATCAGTCTGTACCTGAAGCAGGTTTATATTTAATTTCATGCCGTGTGAATTCAAGACCACTGAAAAAAATTCACGGTTTTGCCAAAGTTTAAAAAACAAACATACAGTTCACCTCTACTTTAAATATTTTTGACTTTGTTTTATTGGCTCTCTTCTGTCTAAAACATTTTTTCTTCCAGGTCATGTCCTACCCATCTGATCAGTCTGTCAAAAAAAAAAAAAAAAAAACACGCCAATGCCCCAGAAAGATGCATCGCCAGCCACCCAAATATTAATGGTTTTCACTTTAATCTGATGTAAACCAAGTTGGATTTTTATTAAATAAAGATTATTGAAATGTTTTTTTATCTTTTACTGGTGTTTTTATATTGGTAAATGGACAGAACTTATGTAGTACTTTATCAAGTCCCTCCGGACCCCAGCAAAACAAAGCTGGTAAAAGTAATCAGGGTTGTTAAAAAATTGAACTTTTAACTTGTAAAAATTAGATAAACCCCTTTTATGACTACGCGCCTTTTCCATTGTGACCATTAAAAGTACGGGCACAGAAAACTTAAATGCCAATAACTTTGCTATAAACCAACCAATTTTTTTGTTTAATTTTCCTTACAATAGTCCACTCTGTATAAGCAAATCCACCAGCATTGTACTAGTAGTACAGTGACAGAGCAATGGCGAATAAACACTAAGCAGTAGACAAAGGGAAAACATAACAAAACTGGGGGGGCTTAAAAAGGTAAAATAGATAACTAAATGGGGGGTGGGCTGTTCACATTAAAATATTTTGTGGCATAGTTTGGCCAGTTTATATTTGTGTGGGGCATACTATATATCCCATAGTATGCTAATACTATACTATACTAAAATAAAAAAATCCATTTTTTACACATGAAAACTCATTCNAAACAAACAAACAGCAGGTTTAAAACAAACAAACAAACAGCAGGTTTAAAACAAACAAACAAACAAACAGCAGGTTTAAAACAAACAGGCGGATCAGGTCTGAGTCTCAGGGACTGAACTGGGTCAGGAGGAAGTGGTTTGTGTTCAGATGACGGTTTCTCTGCAGCTTCCTGTTTAAGGTCTCAGCTCATGGAGTCCTCTACAGTCCCTGACCTGATCCTGGTCCTGGTCCAGACCTGATCCACACTAGACCAGCAGGATATAACCCTTATCCAAATCAGATCTAGACATTATCCTGGTCCAAACTAAATCTAGATCTTATTGAATGTTACCCTGTTCCACTGAGTACTGAGGTCCAGGTTTTATAGATCCAGGAGGTCTCTGTAGACCTGCGGAGAACTGGACTTACTGAAGCCCAAATGCAGAGCTGGATCACAGCAGGACCAACAGGTCTGAGGGTCACAGCTCGGGATCTGACTGTTGTTGGCTCAGTTTACTTCCTGGTTTTTTACTGTCCAGGTGAGAGAGCGAGTAAGACAGACTGTCAGAGAGACAGACTGTCAGAGAGACAGACTGAGAGACAGAGAGACAGACTGAGAGACAGAGAGACAGACTGAGAGACATAGAGACAGACTGAGAGACAGACTGAGAGACATAGACAGAATGAGAGACTGAGAGACAGACTGTCAGAGAGACAGACTGAGAGAGAGACTGTGAGACAGACTGTGAGACAGACTGTGAGACAGACTGAGAGACAGACTGAGAGACAGACTGGGAGACAAACTGGGAGACAGACTGAGAGACAAACTGACTGAGATAGAGACAGAGAGACAGACTGAGAAGCAGAGAGACAGACAGAGACAGACTGAAGGACAGAGAGAGAGACAGACTGAAACACAGAGAGAGAGACAGACTGAGAGAATGAGAGACAGAGAGACAGACTGAGAGACAGAGACAGACTGAGAGACAGAGAGAGACAGACTGAAGGACAGAGAGACAGACTGAGAGAAAGATTGAGAGACAGACTGAGAGACAGACAGAGACTGAGAGACTGACTGAGAGACAGACTGAGAGACTGAGAGACAGACTGAGAGACTGAGAGGCAGACTGAGAGACTGAGAGACAGACAGACTGAGAAGCAGAGAGACTGAGAGACAGAGAGAGACAGACTGAGAGACAAAGAGAGACAGACTGAAAGACAGAGATAGAGACAGACTGAAAGACAGAGAGAGAGACAGACTGAAAGAAAGACTGAGAGACAGACTGAGAGACAGACTGAGAGACAGACTGACTGAGAGACAGAGAGACAGACTGAGAGACAGACAGACAGACTGAGAGACAGACTGACTGAGAGACAGAGAGACAGACTGAGAGACAGACAGACAGACTGAGAGACAGACTGACTGNGTTAGTAGGTAAAGACTTTGAAAAAATCCATATTTTACACATGAAAACTCATTCTGTCTTCTGTAGAGCGAAAAAAGCCCACTTTTGAGAAAAGAACTGAAAAACAGCTTCTCAAATGATAATTAACTTAAAAAGTGTCA